GACATCTCTTGTGGAGCAGGTGGCCCCTGTGCCTTTTTGTTCATTGTTGTCTCTCTCTCCATAATTTATGACCTCAGGTCAGGCCTTAGGGCTTAAGTGGACGCTCTGACCATGGGCCTTGAACTAATTCCATATGCATCCCTCATCCTTGTGCCCAGCACAGGAGGCCATAAAGAAGGCCCATTGCTGTGGGGCAGACTAGAGCCAGTGTTGGGCCCTGGCGCAGAGTGATTTTCTCAGTGACTTTTTCAAGTATCATGCATGCCTTACCTAACCACATGACTCCCAAAAACTGTACTGTAGTTCTAGGCCCTTTGCCTGTGGGGATTTGATGGAGGCCACTACAAAGCAGACCTGAACAGGACTTAAATTAATCAACTGGCTTTTCATGTTCCCTTGTGAATCTGCCCAAGGCCTAGGCTCCCTATCTGGAAATGGCAGACTCATAGTAAGTGAACCTCTGTAAGTCACTAATCCCTACTAAAACATGTAGTGGTGGATGAAGCTGGACAGCCTCAAAGGACAAGACAAGATCACAGCCAAGGACACCTGGATCTGATGGCAACTAGATAAAGACTATAGCCGCAGGCATCTCTTGAGTGGATTAACCTAATATCTTACTTAGAGAAGTCCTTGAGTGATTCTGCCTTTCTTGAGTACTCCCCTCCCTTCTTCTGATAACCAAATAAATACAGGCCACTCAGAGAAGGTCTTGGTCTTAGCCCTAAGAGAATCTCGAATTTTGTGAGAGGGCTTTGATCCTCTTGGAGCCCTGAAATCATTCCATTTGCCACTTTTTATTTAGCCTCCACCATACACTTGTTTGGGACATTGCAGACCTGATCAACCTGCAATAACTAAGGGATATTATTAACCCAATAGGGGTTGGTATTCCACCCCTGCTCCTTTAGGTGTCCTTCAGCTGTCTTCTAAATCTGTAAGACACTCAGAGGTTAGCATGATTTCATCTATGTGATAAAACATTTTTATGGTGGGTGGGCAGGGTAGTAAGTGAATGTCCCAGGTCACAATCCCCCAATGGGGGAGCTGTGCAGGTTTCCCTAGGGGAGCACTTGAAAGGCCTGTTTCAGTCTATTCCAGGTGAGCTTAAACTTGTCCCAGGATTCAGCAGCTAAGGAAATACTAAAGAAAATGTTAGCAAAATCCAAAAGATCATGAGAGGAGGCCATAGTTTGCTGCTGTTTTTCAGTCAGAAGACTGATGGTGGGTGCAGGAGCCTGGGTTAAGGCACCACCTCAGTTACCTCTGTAATCTACAATCATTCTCTGGGAGCTGCCCAGCTTCTTTTGTCAACTCTCTTGCTCTGTCAGCTGCACATCGCTGGCTTCACAGTCTACTAATGAAGAAATCTGACTGTGCAGTGCAGGGTGTGCCTCAACAGCGTGTTCACCACGGTAGAACCTTGGTCTTTTTTTTTAACATCTCCAAATATGGACTTTCCAATGACAAGTCTGTTAGATTATGTTTAAACTGACTCAGGACAACCTTATGATTTTAGCAGAGTCCCTTGTGATAATTATCATCAGGTACTGATGCATAACAAGTTTTGTTTTTCATCTTCCCAACTCCAACCTTTCCTTTTCAATCAAAAGGTAGGGCTGACTCGAGTGACTCCCTTGTGGTATTCATAATTCCCATGCTTGCCATACAGCCCCCTTGTCCTTATGAGAGATTATTTGAAGACATCACTAATCAGTCATTGCCAGAAAGTTGTTTGGGTTGTTAGTCTTGTCTGGTTCCATGTGTGTGTGGGAGATTGGCAATTGAAAGTCAGTGTTACAGCCTCTTTAGCCACATTCTAAAGGAGATTTAGAAGGAACAGATCTTGGGCCTAACAAAACCAGTAAGGGCAAAAACAGAACAACAAAGCACACAAATTTCCTTTCATAACACCCCTCATCCTCCACGAACTTTCTCTGTATACTGGGACCTCCTAGTTTTGCCTCTATCTTTTCTTTTTCCATACTGGTAGGGGAAAACAATCTTATCACCAAAAATATATTCGTGTACCTATAACTTTCTTTACATCTTCTTTATCCTACTTAGTGTTTCCTTCTGTAAAAGCCTAGTGGCCTCTTGGATTGTCAAATGCCCTAATACTTTTCCCCGCTTTGGTTTCAGAGTTGACAGATGTTTACATTCCAATCAGGACTGGTTGAACAACTTAGTTTCCTGTAATCTTGAATAGCAGTATCATCTTAGCACAAGCAGGAAGCAAAGCATGTTAACCCTATATTTGCAGTGTAAAAACTGTCCTGATGCAGAAGAAATGGTCTAAGTATGCCAATTGGACAAAAACAGCTATTCAAATTGGAACCCAAAAGCCCTTTTTAACTCCTTACAGGTTACCAGGAAGGTTGGTTTCCTCTTCTGATACTCCTAGAGAGGACCTAACCCCAACTTTGTTTCCCATTAGGACACAGTGTGGGCAGCACACTGTTGCACAAACATAAACCTGGCAGATGTGTGAGAGTTGCCTTGAGCCCAGTGGTGCCAACAGTGTTGTTTCATGATCAAGTTACCCTGTGACAGGAGTCTTCAAGCAGCAGATAGCCTATTGGCATGTAGCTGTTTGCATATGTTGACAACTAAGACAATGAGACAAGAATCTCCTTCCTCCTGGCTGGCTTGCCACCAGCCCTGGGGTACCTGCTTGCTTCATCTCTGGCTTCCTTACACAGGTCCTAATGCTAGGTCCCTGGCTGCAGGCTCAGAAGCTCCACTTACCAGGAGGCTCTGACTTGGGACTCTCAGACAGCAGCCCAGGTAGTAAGTGACCTGCCTACTTCTGTGGTACTGGAGATTGAGCCAGGAGCACTGCACCACTGACTATACCCTCACACCATTTTACTTCTTGAGACAAGGTCTCAAAAAGGACATGCAGGATAAAACCTGTGGGTCATCTCAGCACTGGTATATAACTAAAAAGTGCACTTTTGAAAAATATTCTGTGTAATTGGTATACCATGTGTATATGATTTTTCTTATATGTGGTTTTGGAAAAACCACTTCTTACAAGTCTAGCATGCATACTGGCACCTGTATACTGCCTACAGGCCTCAGGGTCTGCCTGGACAGAAGGAACTGCTTTTGGTCAAAGCAGAGCACTCCCTGCTGGGGCAAGTTCTACACAGTGAGCTGACCCCTGGCACATGGGACTTGATCCCAGTGTCTCTCACTGTTCTTCGTCTGCAGCCCTCACCTTGGCTGGCCTGGGCTCCTTAGGTAAGGCTCAATGATTTTGTATCCTTGTCTGACTCATTGACAGGTTCAGTGTGGTTTTTGGACCACTCATTTGACCCTTTTGAGCCTTTCTTCATCTGTAAAATGGGGAAACTGCCCCCTCTACCTCCCTGTCAGCACTGAGAATTGAACCCAAGGTCTTTGTACTAAGCTATAACCCCAGCCATCCCTCTTTTTATACCAGGACTCAAACTCAGGACCTTGCACTTGCCAGGCAGGTGCTTATGCCATTGAGCTATGTCTCCCAGCCCTTCTTTAAACATTTAAATATTGAGACAGGGTTGCACCAAGTCACTAAACTGCGACTGTGATCCTCCTGCCTCAGCCTCCCAAAGTGCTGGTATTACAAGTGTGTGTCACCATGCCTGGCGGAAGCGGACCCTTTTTTGCTATAAGATGTGAGGATTCAGTAAGATACTGCATGCTGTGTGCTGTTTAAGCATAAGGGAATATTCAGAGCTTAAACTGCAAAGGTGGTTTTAAGGGATGCCCTGGTTTAGATCTGGTACATTCCCCAAAGGCCCCTCCGTCCAAGGCTTGGTGCCCGGGGAACCTTTAGGGTCTGGTGAGACTTACGCAGGTCCTTGGGAATGTGACCTTGCGGGGATGGCAGCACCCGGCCTGTCCCTGCTCTTCTCTTTGCCCCCAGGCTTGTGAAGTGAGAGCTTTGCTCTACCACTTCCTCGCCAAAGCAGCAGGGCCATGGCCACTGACACCTCTGAAAGTGTGAGCCAAAAGAACCCTTCCCCTTTACAAGGGGATTCTGCTCAGGCATTTTGTTACAGTGATGGAAAGGACAACGTAACATGTTAAAAATACCACAAAATTCAATTGCAGAACTGAACTGGGAAGGGAATTTCCTGGAGGTCCCTGCAAGTAACTTTAGGAGACACACATTGCACAGATTTTGGAAAACGTGCATCATGTATATCTTTTCATTTGCATAAAACCTTACTGCAGTAAACTCAACCTTTATGTAGTTGTTCAACCCCAGTTCACTAAACTAGTCCCAGATATGTAGTGGCTTAACAATGTACATGTACTTCCTGTTCCTGTAACAATCCATTGCAGGGTTTGGGTGGTGGGCAACCAGCTCTCCTGAGATGGGGACCCAGGCTCCTTCCAAGTAAGGACTACGCACTACCTGTGCCTGGTTGTTATTTGCATCCAGCCACTGTCAGAGAGGAGCCCAGTGAACACGTATGGTTTTTACACTTCTGTTCACAATGCCCTGGAGAAAAGTTAATGCAAGGCTCTGACTGCAAGGAAGGCTGGGAAATGCAGTCTAGCTGCGTGCACAGAGGGAGAAATGCATCTGGGTAGTTGGCAGTTGACAGATGAGGAAAATACTCTAAACACGACTAACCAGCTTGCCATAATTAGTTGGTCACAACGGAGTGACAAAGCCAGGACTGTAGCCAGATTTGATAACCATGTCTGGGCACTTGACATCAGCCCCCATCTTACCTGGACACTCGCCTGCTGCCCGCCTCACTCTGTAACCTGGCCTCTCCCTCGCAGATAGAGGGATCTCAGTACACCTACTCTGGATCACCAGGGACGATGACGGAAAGGGACCTCTCAGCCTGCCTCCCCCTCCTCCAATCTTCTTTTAGCCCTTATCCATGGGCATGTGGGTCTGGAGGGCAACCGAGCTGTAGAGTGACACAGCTGCACCTGAGCCCCAGTCTGACTCCACACTGTTGTCCCCAGAGTAAGAAAGGACAAAGGCCAGCTTCAGGCCAGACTTTTATTTTTACAGAAGCAGTGGCCCCACAGCACAGGAACACGAGTCCGAGAGGCACAGCCCCTGCAGCTGCAAGCCTGACAGGGGACACTCATGCCTTTCTCCTTGGTCCCCACGACCAAAGGAAGAAATAATCACACACCATACACTACCACAGCCATTCCCACCCCTCTTCCCTTTCACTAACAGCCAATAATCCATCCTTTCAGGCAAGAGAAACAGCTATAACTCTGAGCTCACAGAAACCCTTCATGCAGCCAAGAAACTAGAACTCTGGAGGGGAGAGGCACATTGCTCTTTACACTCACTGCCCACTGGTACTAAGTTCAACTCCACTGGAAGCCTGCTGCAAAGATGGGACAGACAGGCTGTAAGGGAAAGCTGGAACTCAGCTCACCATGCTTGGAAGACTCCTCTTGCTGGGGTCTTGTTTACCTGAGGCTGGTGTGATTCCAAAATACTGTTCCTTCTAGGCCCCAGGTAAGGTCTGTGGAAGGCTGGATTTTGGTCAGAGGACTAAGGGTGACAGCGTCTGTGGCTACAGCCGGGGGCTCCGGGATGGCAGCTCTGATGGCGCAACGACAGCACTTCAGCTGCTGGATTCATCTAGCTCGGGTAACCTTTCATCTACACCAAGTAGAGTCATCAGTTCAGCACCGAGCAAGAGGTCACACGTGCTGGGACTCGTGTGCTTCTCAGACTACAGAGCAAGGGCCAAGTGGGGCCCCTTGACTTTGTGAAGGCCTCAAAGGCACCCAGTGCCTGCAAGACCACGCTAGGACACTGCAGTGAGCCCAGCCCTGTGGGGAAGGGAAAGTGTCCTTCAGTCAGGGGGTGGCCTCACAGATTCCGGCATGCGGATGGGTAAGATGGACACTTCCTGGACAGCCCCAGATGAACTCTGCTGAAAATGAGATGGGACTGAAGGACCTTAAGTAACAGATAATCCCTAAGTGTCACCTGCATCATTTACTTTTCTTCTTTCAACATAAACAGGGGTTGGACCCCTGGGTTTTGCAACAGTGGTGTCTAAGATTTTAGTTGGAAGACCTCTGGGGAAGTCTCATCTGGACCACTGTAACAGGTGAGGAAATTGTAGCTTGGAGAGACGAACACTTGCCTGGGGACGCACAGCTTGCAGACAGGCGCAGGGACTGAGCGCCAAGCCCAGAGTCCAGTGTCACCAATCACTGCGGCGATTGGCTCAGCTCTCTATGTCCCTTACGGACCCCAGTGCCTTCTTCCAGGACACAACTCTGGGTCTGCAGCTGCAGCTGGCAGTTCTTAGGATGGAGTTGCATAAACAACCACTCTTGGATAGCAAGGCAGAGGGAACTGCAGAAGTTCCCTTTCCTCTGAAGGAAACAGAAGCTAACTTTCTCTGAGCGTAGGATTTGTAAGGCACTGAAATTAACTAAGCTGGAGGTGGGATAAAGAAAAGGGAAGATGAGGGGTGGGAGAAATCCAGCTGATGCTTTTTTCTTTCAGCCTTATAGCGAGACTCCTCACAGAAACACAACGATGGGGACGTCATGTCCCCCGTGCTGCAGGGCAGCAAGGATACATCCACCGTGACTAAGTTGGTCCTGGAACGTGACAGGGTCTAGGAGGTGGGAAGCCAAGAATGAGTCCAGGTGCTTGGGATCCAGCTCAGAACTCAGACCCCTCTCCAGTGGCATCCTGGACATGGCTCTTTGTGGGCTCAGTGATGGCTAGGGCAGGCCTGTAGGCCTGAACGAACAGGATATGGGGCAGGACGTCGCCAAGGACAGCAGAGAGAACTTTGGGATTGGACCTGGCTTTGGCACAGCACATCTTGGACTTGCCTGCCCCACTGTTGCCCCCTGGGGTCCTGGGTGGGGAGGAGCCTTCCTTTTCCCCGTGTGGGGGAGGGGGAGGGGCCTCTTCTGGCCAACTCAGGCAATGGCGGTGCAACTCCAGGGCGTCCCCTTCATCATTCCAGCCAAACCTGTGCAAGGGTGACCTAGCAGGGAGGCTTTCTGGATTCAACTGCTGAACCCACAGCACTTTAGTCAGATAGGATACTGAGTGGTAAGTAATAACAGCTACTGTGAACAAAGCACCTCCCATGTGACAGATGCTGACTTAGATGGCGGCCTGCAGGTACAATCACCCGCTTCATCAGATGGAGGACTGGAGCACAGGGGTTCAAGCGGCACACCCAGAGGCACACACTAATTAGTGGCAGCCCTGGGACCCGGACTCAGGGTGGTCTGACTCCAAGTCCCATGTACTTTGCACTTGACCGGGCCGCCCCACACATGACGGGGATGCTGGCGGGGCCGTCTGGGTGGAATTTCTGCAGGGGTTTCTTTCTGAAAATGGGTTTGGGAAAGCAGCCAAGCTCGGTGAAGGGAAGGCACAGGTCCACCCGCCTGCGTCTGTCTCTTCCGGAGGCTGGGCTCAGTGTCTTGCGGCCTTGCAGATCTTGTCGTACACCTCGGGGAAGGCGTCCTGGCAGCCCAGCTGCTTGCGCAGCTTATGGTACAAGGAGCCATCAAACATCTCCCAGAACTCCTCCCGGTCCATGTAGCAGTCGGCATACAGCATCTGAAACCTGAAAAGGGAGAGGAGAGGTGAGGGCTTGGGAGGTGTTGCCAGGAGGCGCAGGGGGGTGACAGGTGCGTGAGATGAGCCACTCACCCATGTACACTCCGCACAAACTTCTCCAGCTGCCGCATGCAGGACCTGGCCTCAAAGTGCTTCACACGAGGCTCTCCATAAGCGCCGATGTCCACATAGAGCTCAGTCTCGTCTCCCTTGGGGTGCACCAGGCCCGGCTGGCTGGGCAGGATGAACGGACACAGCCAGATGGGGTAGACCTGGGGAGGCCGGCGAGGTGGGCACGGGTGCCTCTTCTCTAGCAGGTGACACTCCCACCCTCCCACAGGGGCCCTGTCTGCTGCCCACAGCATCGGATCCTGCCAGCCCTGACGCTACCACACAGGAGCCGTTCACAGAAGTGCTCGCCACCAGGGCCACTGCCAAGTGATGAGGCCTCTGCAGGTTTAGGGACAGGGCCTGATTTTATAGGTGGCAAAACCGAGGCTGAGAGGCAGGCATGCCTGCCCAGGTAGGTGGGCTGTGGGCTCAGGGGAGAGGCTATGAAGTTCCGGGGCCACGCCGGCAGCCACTCACATGGATGTCGTTGTGGAAAGTGTGCAGGGCCTGCTGCAGGCACTTCATGGGCACCAGCATGTCCTGTACCACGTGGTGCTGCTCGTATAGCTTGCGCAGGGTCTCACCCTGGGTCAGCTTCAGCAGTGAGATCTTGGGGGGCACCATCCAGCCAAAGAGGTAGCGGAAGACAGGGTTGTTGCCAAAAGGGATGATATCCTGAAAGACCAATGTTGGGATAGTGGGAGGGAGAAGGAACCCTGGATGAGGGTGTCCTGGGGCCAGGACCCAATTCTATCCTTGATGTTGCACGATCTGGGTTCAAGCCACAGTTTGGAGAACGTGAGCTACTAGGACTTCACCAGGAAGGTTTACCAGCTGTGACCACCTTGGGCTGGCTCCTTAATTTCTCAGCATTCCATCTCCCCATCTGGGCAGAGGGACTTGTGAGGCTAATGACAAATCCAACAGAAGACACTCACCCAGTGTCTGAAACAGACTGGTGAGGCGGCTGTCATTCCATAAACAGAGACGAAGCCAGTGAGAAGAGTAATGCCCAGAGAGCTTAACCAACTTCCCTAAGGCCACACGGCAGAGACAGCTTCCACAGGGTGGGTGAAGTCCACCCAGGCTCCACAGGAGTGCACGGGCTTCTGGCATCCTGCCCACTCACCTGCTCCCTGACTCAGTGTCCCCGAAACCGCGCTGAGCAGACGCTGTCCTTCCTTTCCGTGCCTTGGGCCACCTTACTCAGCACAGTGGCTCCCCCAACGTGCTCTGACCATGTCAGTGTCACTGTGACTGAGGAGACTTTGGCCCCTAGCTCACAATCTCCCTCCCAGCTGAGAGCACCCAGTGTGCCGCTGGCACCCCATCCCCACAGCTCCCAGGGCCCTCAAAGCCAAGGACAGTCCTTTGTTCATTAGTCATAGGTACTTCTGGAGCTGGGTGCTGGCCTGTGTCCTTAAGGTGCCCACTCTCAGGTGTGCAGGAGGGACAGGCACTGGACCTCTGGGTGGAGAAGGTGACCGGGGTCCATCAGACTAGAGACCAAAGAAGCCACAGGTAGCAAGCAGCAAAGGCTGAGCGACTTTCCCGCATGATGGTGGAATCACCACCCCTAGGGCAGGGCCCACGTGATTTCCTCTGCTTTTGAGGTTACCCAGGGCTAGGACACCGCAGCAGCTCAGCAAACCCCATGGCTTTTCTCACTCAGTTGCTTCTGGAAAAGCTGCCCGTGCCCATGGTGGAAATCACAGAGCACAAAGGTGATGCTCCCTGCACCTGCCTGATCCTGCTCCATGCCAGCCCAAGCTCTCTTTTCCCTAAGAGCAGCCATGGGCATAAATGACTGCCTGCCTTTCTGGAGATGCGTGGTGCACAAATTAGCAGAGACCGAGAAACACCCAGGCACCAACCCACAGACTGCGGCTTCTCGGTGCGCCCTGCTCCTCGCTGGGCCTGCGTGTCAGAGCGACGCTGCTGCATTCTGTCCAGGATGCCTGACACTGGCCTGCAGGGCTGCCAGTCTTTGCCCATAGCTGGGTTACACCTATTCGTTCACGTGGTGGCTTTGGCTGCTGTAAGGCAACAGGGCACAGAAGTGACCAGAGAGACTGGGTGATCCACAGAATCAGAACCAGTGACTCTCGGGCCCTTTCCACAGATGGTGCCAACCTGCTCTGCTCCATGGATCCCCTGCAAATTAAACAGGTGACGGGCACTCGGACTACTCTCAAATCCCTCCAGTGAGTACCCTTTGCACATGTCTTTGTCCGTTTATATGCCCATTTACCGGCGAAATAAATTCCTAGAAATGGAACATTCTAGATTAAATAGCAAGGACAACTTTAATATAGCCTATTTCAAGAGCCTCACTGTTTAATACTTTCCCAAACAACAGGGGACACCGCTCCCACACCAGCATTTTCAGACCTCAGCCACGTCACTCGCTGTGAGGGAGCCTGGGGCACCTTTCTCAGGTCAGCCTGGGCTGTCAGCTGAAACTGCCCCTCTTTTCCTGATTTCAACAGCTCACACGCCCTTCTCCTTTCCCACCTCACCTGCCCCATGACTCATGCTTCCGTCTCTCAGTGGCCTTGTGTCCTGTGTCCCTGGTCTACTCCTGTTCCATGTTTACCCACTCTGCACTCAGAACTGACTGATGGCCCCTCCCAGGAAACCACCAAGTGTGACCCTGCCGTGCCTTCACCGTTTCTCAGTCATCCCAGTCCCTCCTGCACTCTGACCCGTTGCAGCAAAGCAGAATCAGCACGGCAGTATCAGGCTGAGCCAACTGGCCACAGTCCCTTGGCCGCCCCGGGCTCAGAGCAGGCCCTGGCTGTCCCCAGACCCTGATGCGGGCTTCCCATGAGCCTCTTGCCTCTGGGCTTGACGGAGCCTTAGATTCTCCTGGTCCCTCACTGCGGCTCCCATACCTGTTCCTCCTGCTTCCCAAGAACCACCCTCAGCAACACTGAAGCACGCTGCTCTCCCCCGGAGTCCTCGTACCTCCCTCCCGCATGGCTGCTGGATCCTGGGCCACTGTCAGCCTCTCCCAAAGCAGTTTCTGGTGACCTCAGAATCCAGGGATACTCCCACCTATGCTCTGGTCTCTGGGTTCCCTGGGGTCCTCTTACCTTCCAGGGGTCTTATCCTCTACTGACCCCAGCCAGGACTTGCCTGCTACATTCCAAAGTGGGAGACAACACTACAGCCCCTACGGACCCAGGTTAGCACTGACACCAGCTTGCTGGCCACACCTGGCCCCTGGCTGCTCCAGCAGCAGTTTTCTGGGGGGTAGCTCCACCACCCTGACTCCCTTCCACCTAAGCCTGCTTCCTATGCAGAGCTGAGCAGCTGACAGCTACTGGGCCCTTCGGGAGAGTTTGCTGCTCCCCTAGGCCATCACAGCATCTCCATCTTCGTCTCCATGGCTGCCGCCCAAAGCACTGGCCCTCTGCCACCACCATCATTCCTTCTGGCTCAGTGTCCTGACTTCAACTCTGCCTGGGCACCAGTGCATCGCAGTCCCTTCTGTCACTGAGGCCTCACAGCCTCCCTGCCTGGCTGGCTTGGAATGTCCCAAAGTCACTCATGCCCCCTGCGTGGCCTCCCCCATACTAGGTTCTCACTGTCCACCTCTGCTGCCCCACCCCGCAGCCACACCCCTACCTGGGAATTTGCCATCACACAGCCCAGGAAGCCCAAGGTGGCCTCACAGTCCTGGCACTTCCCCAGCAAATGAATTTCCCTCCCCAGGGCCAAGTCACGGGTCCTCTCAAGCCTTCAGCAACCATCCACCTCCACTGAAACTTTCGCCTGTCAGTTTCACTGCAAAATTAGAAGCAATCCCCCATCACCCTCCTGTCCTGTCCCCAGCTAGCACTCCCATGTATTCTGCTCCTCTCTTACCTGCGCTCCCACTACAAGGCCACCTCTGAACACACCCTCACCTGCACCATCCTTCCCCTTTCCAGCAGGCCACTCCCCGACACAGAGCCATGCTGTCTTCTCTCCCACCCGAATCACACCACCACACCACCACAAGCCCTGTTGCGGGACCACAGCCTGCCAGCCAACTGCCACCGCTTCCATGCAGACGCGGCTGGTCAGACTGGTCCTCGCTATCTCCCTTCCTGTCTCCCATTCTCTCCGACTCAGCAGTTGTGGTTTCACCCCCACTGCTCAAGGTCACCGATGGCCTCTGCAGACTCAGGTGGCAGGATCGAACAGTGCTGTCTGTCCCTCTCCCTTCCTCTATCCTCGTGTATTTTCTTCTGTGCTGGGGTGACCCTAGATCTCACGCATGCCAAGCAAGTGCTCTACCGCTGAGCTACGCCTCAGCTCGTCTCACTTGGTCAGAGTCCCCACTCAGCTCTGAGGTGCCCTGTCCTCCCGGTCCACCCCCAAACCTGCTGGCACTTTCCCCCGCTAGTCTCCCTCCCTGAACCTGTAGGGCTGGGCTCTTGCACCTTTCTCTCACCTGCTTCCATGGCTTTAGGTAACATCTGTCCACTTCAGATGCTCACATTTACGTGTGTGGCTCCACCCCTGCTAAACCCAGGAGTGCTGCCACACGAGCACTTAGTGTCCTACCTGGGTGTCACAGGCATCTCAGACCAATGTGTGTCAGACCAAACTTTCACTTTCCCCTCCGGACACCACAGCTTTCCGCGGCAGTCAAGGGCACCCTGTGCACCCTATTTTTGGGCTCCCAACCTTGGAGGTGCTCACACCACAGCCAATCTGTCTGGAAGTCCTGCAGCTGGCTCACCCCTCACACTCTCTTAAGGTCTGACGCTTCCTTCCTCCTCCACTGCTGTTACCCAGACAACAGTAGTCTTCCTTCTCCTCCTCCACTCCTACCCTACACCCCAGGCACTCTCCCTTCAATGCCAGAGATCTTTAAAATAAAAATCAGGCCATGTTGCTTTCCTGCTCAAAGCTGCCCTGATTTCCTATCACAGGTAGAGGAAAACAAAGTCCCTCCTTGACCTACAAGGAGCCGTGAGATCCAGCCTCTGGCTGCTGTCTGACCTCTTGCCACTTTGGCTGGAGGTCAGCAGCCTTCTTGCTGGTTTCTAACACAGGCAGCCCCGCTGGGAGGACGGCTGAGCATGTACTAAAGAGTGCTGCCAGCCGATGAGCACAGCATCACACATGCAACGAACAAAATGAAAGAGCCAAACCTTAGCGCTCTCAGAGGAAAGCAGGTAGATCTTCCTGACTGTACATTTGGCAACAGTCTGTTTTTTTCCTTCTTTTTGAGATAAGGTTTCACTATGCAGTTCAGGCTGCCCTGAACTCACTTTGTAGCCCAGGCTGGCCTGGAACTTGTGCCGATCTTCCTGTCTTAGCCTGCTGAGTGCTGGGATTGCTGGCGTGTGCCACCATGCCTGGCCTAGCAATAGAGTTTTAAATACCACAGTACGAGCATGAGCAACCAATGGGACTGGACTTAAGCTACATTGAAAGGGCTTTACCAAGAAAGTGAACAGAAACATACAGAAGTCATCTGCACATGGTGTATCTGATAATACTGACACCCAGAACAGTAAAGAACACTGCCAGCTCCACAGCAAAGACAAACACAGCCCCGTTAAAAATGGACAAAGATCTGAACAGAGTTCACCAAAGACACATGAATGGTCAACAAGCACATGAAGTGATGCTCAAAGCCATGAATCCAGAAGGAAATGCAAATCAAGCCATAAGGAAATGCAATTTCACACCCACTAGAATGGCTATGTAACAACAAGCACTCAAACACCAGGAAATAAGCGTGGTGGAAATGCCAAAAACCTGCAGCACTCATTCACTGCGGGGCGGTGGGGGAACAGCCAGGTGGCTCTGCAATACGTAACACAGAATTGCCATGCAATCTGGCAACCGTCTCCAGGTGTATTTATACCCAAAGGAGCAGACAACTGGAACTCAAACAAATACTTGTGGATGAATATTCACAGTGGCGCTGCTCACTATGGCCAGAAGGCTGAAACAGCCCAAATACCCAACAACAGACGTGTGGAAAAGCCAAGTGTGGTAACGGAGTACTACTCAGCCAGAGAAAGAAACAGAAACATGACTGGAAACATACACAGAAGCACTATGCAAAAATGAAAGATGCCAGTCACACTGGGCACATCCTGCACGATTCTTGCTTATAGAAAGTGTCCGGAACAGCAAATCCTTAGAGGCAGTCAGTTAAAAGTTGCCACAGGGTGGGGGGAGGGATGGACAGCGACTTTGTAACAGGTGTGAGGTTTCCTTTTGGGATGAAGCAAAGGTTTTGGAAGTGGACAGAGGTGGTGGGTACACTGCACTGTGCAGGAATTAAGTTCTGTGAGCTGTCTACGTGACAGCTGTTAATTCTGCTAGCCCGTGGTGGCTGTCCCTCTGCCTGGGCTCTCTGCTGTCCCTGTGTTCAGGTCCCTGCTCACAAACATCTCTGGGGGGCCTTTCCTGATGTCACCCCCACCCCTCCCACACACTAGCAAATTCTTGCCTACTTTTCCAAGGCACCCCAATGGGCCTTCCCATTGGGGGCAGAGCTGGCCACTTCCTCCTCCTGCTCTTGGCTCTGCACAGAGCAGAACCCATCTGCTCAGAAGGCTGACACTTCCTGAAGGAAGCAGAGGTCTGTGTTCCCTGAAATGCGGGCCAGGAGCCCACTCCCAGAACCGGTTGGTGACAGCATACTTAGGTCACTGTTCTGCTCAGGTCCCTTGGGACAAAGCTGGGGAAAAAACAGCCTCACCTGGAGCTCCCAGAAGATGCTGCGAGTGTGGCGGTGGTAGTACTGTCTCAGGGGAATGTACTCCAGGCCCTCCCGGTTTGTCTTCAGGTAGTTCTCCACGTGCTTGAAGAACCAGGGCTTGTAGTAACTGCCGATGCTATTCAGCTGAAACGACAGAGGCCACAGTGATCAGCACAGAGCTGAGTGTCAGCCACCACCTGGGAGTAGCAGCAATACAGGCTGCTTGCTAGCAGCATGGCTGGCCTTTCTAGAGCTGTCAGGTCATCACCACCTTCAGAGTCTCAACTGCCAGGCAGGCTTGGGTACAGCGGTGCTCTCTGCAGACACTGAAGCTGTAGGTGGTGCACTCAGGGCTACATCACTAGCTCCAGATCGTCTACCACGATGCAGGGCTCTATGCAGGCAGCTCCCTCCTCCTGCCTCACCAGGCCAGAGGTCACCCCTCACTGCAGTGCACCGCTCAGCTCTAAGGGACCCTGGCACTTCCCTGCTGGCCCCGGACCCAGCTCTACAGTCCTCGGCACAGCACTCCCCCAAGGAGCTCCTCCTCCTTGGGCACAAGGTGGAAGTGCGCCGGAAGGAACTCGCCCGCTCTTGGGCACTGGCCCCCATCCACTGACTTTCTTCAGCCCCAAATGGCTCATTTGCTGTGGGCCCTGAGATGACTTAGCCTCTCCGGGCCTCTGCTCCCTCAGCCGTGAAATGAACTGTGGTGGATGCTCTCGGGCAGTTGCACAGGCTGGGTACCCTGGGAAGCACACAAGCTCTGGCCTGGGTAGCTGGGGCCAGATCCTGTCCCATCACTCCCTAGCTGTGTGGCCTGGAATCTATAAACCTGTTTCTTCACACATAAAATGACAACTATATATATTATACATAGGAACGCAAGTTTGAGCCCAACCCAGACAACTTACTGGGGGCTTGACTCAAAAAAAAAAGACGCTCAGTGCAAAGGCCCTGGATTCAATCTCTAGTACCATAAAAAAACAAGAATATGTGTGTGTAGTTTATTTGTACCTTTTAGATTTACTATGTGCACAGTTCTTCATAAAACTAGAACCATCCTGTGCATACTGTGGCTATTTGCTCTTTCCACTTACAGTCCCTGGCTGACCCTGGGCAGGCTGCTTGGCCTCTCAAGAGCCCCCCTTACTCAACAGATGCTCCCCCCTCCCCACGGTGGTAAAGTAAGAGACAACGTGGAATGTGCCAAGCACAGTGCCCGCATACAGGGCTTACAGTATTAGCTCCTTGCCCCTTGCTGGCCAACCTACTGCATGGGAGCCAGGCAGCCCCTTGCCCTCCTCCCGGCAGTCAGCACGTGCAGCTCCATCTGGGGGTCACGCTCTCGTGCACCCTGCTCTGCAAAGAGGAGACTGGGGTATTGTCACGGTGCGCCAGGCAATGGGCCCAGCAGCCTGTGTGCCCCAGCAGGTGCTGGTGTGGATGAACACGGCCTCTGTCTCGTAAGGACAGGAGGCTGAAACCCAACAGGAACCACAGCAACCTGAGCCGAGCCAGGTGAGACCTGGCAGCACACCTGGCAGTGGCATCTGCTGCATAATGAGGTCGAGACTCAGAGTAGCTGGATACAGATGTTCCTGGTGCCCAGACTCATCAGGAACTTTGGGCCTGAGAAGCTCAGGAAATGATGAAGACACCAGATCCGGCTTCTCTTGGGGGTTCTGAGGAGGATGGGCACCATGGGCTCCAGCTCTGGCCACAGCAGCTCCACAGCAAGCCACTCTCTGCCTCTGGGTCTCTGCAGACTGTAAAATGGGCTGCCACATCCCCTCAGGGATCTTCTCAGGGTCCCAACGTCCTTACCCTGAACAGTCTGCGAGCCCCAGCAGCGCTACACACCGCCGAGTCTGCAAGGAATACTCCATGACGAGACGCCCACCTGTCTAATTTCATCTACCCCTCTCCCGCCCAAGTCTTGCCTGGCGCACCTTGAAGATCAAGGCCTGTACTGGGACACTTGGTAATGCCGCCTCAGAGCCTCTTTGGCACAGAGTTCGGGAGAGCTTTTGGGAAAGCCCTGGATTCCTGCTTGGAAAATAAGGGAACTGGGTCAGGTGTTCAAACCTTTTAAAAGGGAAGAAACACCAGAGCTGCTCTGGTGCAGCGGGGCAATGGTCCCAGCCCTTTCTCAGCACTGCAGTATAGACTGCTTCTAGGTGGGCGTCTCAGCAGAGCTGGGAAACCTCTGCTCTGGACATCCCTGCCAGGTCACTACAGGAGGTTCTACAGGAGGTCCTGGTCAGCGACATGCTAACCCACTTCGCCCAGTGCTGTCACAGCCGCTCCTGGAGCCTCCTCCAGACTCCGACAATGACTGCTGGGTCAGTGCTTCGGACACTGCACTACTCCACGAGCTGATCCATGGGTGAGCCGCCACTGGGTCAGGGGCCAGAGACAGGGTTCAGATCTATACTATGCTCCCCGGGAGTCCTCAGGAGCGCCCCTTCTGGACCTGTTTCCTTGTTTGGAGAGGAGATCACTCTAGGCGATTTTCGGGTCCTTTCTGGCTTTCAAATGCTTCAATTACATTGGTACAGATCAAAAGTCTTCAGCAGCACCTTCGTCCCACTAATTCTACATTAAGATAGCCTCCAAATTATAGACAAAAGACGTCTGTGGCTTCATTAATTAATAATGGAAAGCCTGGAAACAACCTAACTTTCTAACTCTGGGGTAGGGGCTTAGTGAGCGCCAGGGCGCCCGCTCCAATGTGTGCACAGCTGTGCAGAAGCTAGCAGTGCGGTGGGGAAGGCCGTGCACCCCAGGGCTGTGGATATCACTCCCAGACAAGTCTGGAAGGGTGACCCACACCATAACAAATTAACTCACTGGAAAACTCCGCAAAGAAACACCTCGCCTTGGAAGTAACTAAAGAACTGGACGATTAAGACATACTATTTTTAACCTTACCAGGCTGGCAAAAAATCAGAGAGTGATGCTACCACGAGCGTGTTGGCAGGAACAGAGGGGAAAGGCCACGCCCGCCACTCGCTCCAGACGGCGGTGCGCTCTCAGTTACCAGTGTCCTGTGCTCAGTGCCCGAGCCAGTTAGTGCCCGTGGTGGCAGGGGCACGGACAGATGTCAGAGAAGCTCACATCTTCAATGCTGTTATGTTTAAGAGCAGAGCAAGTGAAGCAATGTTAAGTGCTCATCAGGAAGCAGTGAGTTTGGCCAAGGATCGGCATCTAACAGTGGGCTGTTACGAAGTGCAGTCGGCGTGCGCATAGGCATGGATGAGAAAGACCTGAAAAATGCACCCCAGACTGTTATAACTGGTTGGCCCAGGGTGGGTGGGTGTGAAGAAACACACAGTAACGTTTATATATTTCAACACTGTTACACAGCAGCCACTGTTGGCAGATGTGCCTGAGAGTCACATTTGTAGGTGGAGCCTTTCCTTTCCTTTTAGTTGTCTATACCCTTGAACTCTCTTACAAAAAAAAAACACAAATCTTTTCTCCTCCCTCCGTCTTTTTTGGGGGGCACTGATGGAGGAGGGCTGAGGCCAAATGCATGCTGGGGAAGTATGCTACCACTGAGCCACACCCCAACCACACAAATCCGTTCTTTTCTTTTTGTCTTTTTGAGACAGGTCTTACTATGCAGTTCACGCTGGCCTTGGACTCGCAGCAATCCTCCTGCCTCACCCTCTACAAATCCTTTCTGAATGGAAAAGAATTTGCTATTAAAAATTACATGGTGCGGGATTGGTGACACATGCCTATAATCCCAGCACTCAGGAAGCTGAGGCAGGAGGATTGCAGGGAGTTCAGACCAGCCTAGATTATATAAGCAAGTTCAAGGTTAGCCTATACTATATACCAAGATTCTGTGTCAAAAAACAAACAAAAAAATTACATGGTATGAGTTGAAGGAGTGTTGATCTGAATTCTGAAGCATCAGATCAACTGATACCTTGGCTTTGTCATCCTATGGAAATTCATATTACCTATTCTAGCCTCAGATTCCATATGTATACAATGGGGCTGCAGTAAGAACCAGGGATAACATATTCCGGAAGAGGATGGAGCAGAGGAAATGGAGACTCTCATCACTGAAGGAGACATCCTGGAAGGCAGAGCCTGCTGCCTGAACCCCAAGCAGGCCCCCAGGCCTCCTCTCTCCTGACCTCGGTCCCCAGCAGCGGGATCCCTGGCTTACCTTGCTGGGCTCTGCTTCATCAGTCATGACACCGGTCATGATGACGGCCTCATCCAGGGAGTAGAGCAGCCCCTCCACGAAGTGATTCTCCAGCCGCTGGGACTCACGGGTGAATTTGTCACAAATGGCCTCCAGGCCTCGCACTGGCTCCAACCGCAGCTTGACGTACTTCTTGGCAGGGATGATTCGGATCTCAGCAGCCACCAGGAATCCCAGGGTCCCACAGGACCAGGGTACAGCATAAAATAGGTCTGAGTTTTCGGACTGTGGCACAGAACGGACACTTGCTGAGAGCGTGCACCATGGCTGAGGGGCATTCCTGCTCTTACTGCTGCGTACAAATCCGATCGGGACCCTTACCAACTGCTCTCAGCCTCTCGCTGACAGGTAAGGGAAGTGCGTGTCCAGGAGGTGACATGCCTCTCCCCTCCCCCGGGGGACTTTGCAGGAAGTCCCTGGGCACTGCTGGGCTCACAAGGTTACCAATTCCAGCCCAGGCGGGTGTTCCTCCCACAGCACCTCCTCTGGGGCCATAAAGTTAGTTGTCTCTAACTTCCTTCTCCTCCCATTCTCAGAGACAAGCCACTGACCTTTCTTCTACCATTCTAATTCCAATTCTTGATTCTCAAAAAGTTCCTTTCAAAAAAGTCCAGTCTGTCTTGGCTTGCCAGTGTATCAACCCTGTGAACTCTGCCAAACCTGAATGCTCTTAGTGGTAGGTATGGAGGTGTCATGATTTGTATCTCGATGTCCCCTAAAACCTCATGCAGTCATAGGTACAGCTTTTTCAGAGGCAGCTGGATCCAGAGTGTGTGATTTGTGGAGGGATGCTGGCATTAAGGGTGGGTGATTACTAATCAGTCCACTGATTGGTTTGGCACCGTCCTAATCCTGGTAACCTGGATACAACACAAGGGACACAGGCTTGTTTTCTCCCTTGCTTGCTTGCTTTTGCTGTCTTCTGCTTGCCACAAACTAGTTCTCCTCTGCAATCCCCCTCTGCCAAGCCACCGTGCCTTGGACCCAGCCAATGACAGTCTAAAACCTCTACAAACCATGAGTTACATAAACCCTTCTTCCCTGAACTCCTGGGTGTTGGGTATTTGGTCTCAGGAATGAGAGACATGACTAAGGCAGAGGAGATGGTGTGGGGCGGGAGAGGGGCATGAAGCTCTGTAGCAGGCCAGGAGCAGCCTCCGAAGCAGCACCCCTGGGCCAACTGATCTCCCATGTGGGCCACAAGGTAACTGTCCCATCCAGATCACTGTAGCTGATCAGAATTAGAACCCAGCGAGGGCTCGGCTCTGTGTGCAGCACCTCCTTGTCCTCCTGACCATGTGCTCAGCAGAGGAGGAGCTGGGCCTCGGAGAGGGGAGGTCACCATGAATGTGTCTCCTGGCCCTGCTGGTGGTAAACGGGTTTGAAGGCAGGGTGTTCAGGAAACCATGCTGCGCTGATGAGAAGCCCGACTGAGGTAGACCTCTCCAAGGCCACTGCTCCCAACAGGACTCCTTTCCTGGGACTCACACCCTCCATGCAGCCAGCAGCCTGGGGGGTGGGGGTCCCTGAGGTATCCACTTCCAAAGCAAAGGATGCCCCTCCCACCCCAGGGCCCCTTACATATACTAGAGCAGACCTTAATTATAGTTCTAATTCTGCCCCACTCCTTAGGTAAAATGACTCAAATATTTGTGTCCTACTTTGCGTGGCAGAATTATCTTTTTCCAGAGCAGCCTAGTTGATTTTGGTTACCCCTCACAATGTATGACATAGGGGTTTGATGCTGAGGGCTGACCCACTCTGGAGGGGCAGCCTGGGGTAATAAATGGCTGAGGACAGGGATCCCTGGGCACCTGGTTGAGTCCCTTTATTATCTGTGTGACCTAGGCCAAGAATACAAACCTCTCTGTGCTCTTTAGTTTCCTACTAGTAAAGTGGGGATAATAATAGCACTTACTCATACGTTACTGAAGGAATAAATGCCTTGATATAAAGAATTCACAACAGCAACTAAGCACTCAGGAGGGGCCACACAAACTTCTGTTAGCATTACGGGTATGGAGGAACAGGTACTTCTGAAACAGTCCCTCGGGGAACCCGGAGCAGGCAGGCGTGGGTGTCCCTACCCCGGAACTCACCGGTGTGCAGCGCACGAAGCTGCCATCAGCCAGGACCAGCTCATAGGCGGTGCAGATGTGCTGGAACAGGCCGTACTTGTGGGATGACGACTCGATGCCTGTGCCCATGATCAGGCCCCCTGCAGGGACACATGTGTCAGCCTGGCAGAGCCATGACGTGCAGGGCAGAGGGGCAGGAATGGGGCTGCTAACTTCGCACAGATCCCCACTGCGGTCGATTTGGTAAGCAGAAGTGAGAAGGCTGGACTCACACAAGAGCCAAGGGCCTTGAGGGCAGGGGCTGGGTGGGCAGAGCCCGCAAGGGTACTAACACCCCCACCTCTGGCCAGCTCTGAGAAACCCTGTGCATTCGTCTTAAGGGGACTTCAGTGGTGTAAGGGCTGGGAGCGTGACCCACAGGACTGGGTGACAGAGGAGATGGTGCTTCCCTATACAAGAAAAGGCTTCCCATGAGCCCCGTGGGAAAGAAAGTAGGACTAGACTTATTCTCGTGTTCCACAGGTCGGAAGGGAATATGGACATACGTCCCTGGGAAGGAGAGCTGAACTGGAATTTAAAAAGTGCCTGTGATAACTTGAGCCACTCAGAATGGTGGACAGTGAAGCTTTGTCACCGGTGCTAGCTAAGTACGACAGGGTGACTTCTGTCCTAGACGGGAGGGGCCATTTCTGGACCAGATGGAAGGTGGGCCAGTCCCCTCTGTTCTGATTTTGTGACCATCTGACTCTTCTTGCCCGTGGACATGAGTCCTCACCCACTGTGAGGTCGTCGAGCTCTGGCAGCACGGGCAGTGTCCAGCCAATGGAAGTGAGCAGGGCAGTCACCTGACCCATGGACACCAAGGGCTCCACTCGGACAATCTGCAGACACAAGAATAAAGACCCAGGTTTCAAGGAGGTGGCCAGGCCTGGTGAGCATTCCTGCACACAGGTGTCATTCCAAACCCTCCTGAGCACCCACATAGGTGTTCCCACAGCCTTTATCAGCCCCGTCTAGGACACTATGCTGCCTTTAGTTACTCTGTGCTGTGTTAGTGAAGGTTGAGTCAAATCCTTTAAAATACCTTATAATGACTGCTTTATTTCTTTCTAGATTACAGGAGAAATACTCATTTGAAAGATTCAGCAAAAATAACAAAAAAAAATAAAAATCTACCCTATCTCTTCAGAATTACTGATGTTAATAATGGAGTAGATTCATTTTAATGTTTTCCATTACATGCCTATATATCTCCATTTCTGATTTATACTACAAACTCACACGTATGTATAGTGTTGTCCTCCCTTTAAAAAAAAACAGTACTATGACCATCATCCCTTATCATTCACTTTCTTATAAAATGTTTTTCTTTGAGACAGGGTCTGGCTATGTAACCCAGGCTGGACTTGAACTTGCAGTGATCCTCCTACATTAGCCACCCCAGTGCTGGGATTACAGGTGTGCAACACCATGCCTGGCCTTAAAATGTGCAGTAATGGACACAATATGCTGTCAGGGAGACTTCCACTTCCTGCTGAGATGAAGCAACAGGCACCAGATTTACCCTACTGTCTCAAAACACACACACACACACACACACACACACACACACACACACTCACTCTCTCTCTCAAAAACCAACCACAAAAACTCAGACCAAAAAATAAGAAACAAGAGTTTTCAACATAGTGGACATAGGACTTGAAGGTTAGAGACCCTGAGAGGCAGAAACATGAGCTCTGCGAAGACCCTCTCAGGCAGGGCCGAAGGGGAACTCCCTGGAGCCCTGGGCACCAACTTGCAGAGATGGAGATGAAAGCCCAAGAAGACCACAGAGAAGGGCGTTTGCAGACGGCATACCAGAGGACAGCACTGCAGAGAGGAAGCTGACGGACTGTGAAGGGTGCTGCGGGTGTACTCAACTGAGTACCAACTGGCGTCTACACAGGTGGGTATTACCTGAGGCCAAGGCCAGGGAAGGCGCCACCAGGGAAGGGAACAGGGAAAGGCAGCAGGGCTCACAGAGGACGGACTCTGCTCTCATAGCAGCAGGGAAAACCTCACTGTTCACGGGGCCTTTGGTGGAGTTCTCTGAACGGTCTTGGCTCCACAGTGGGGATTGACTTACCCTAAATTAAATGCTGTTCCAGTGCCACCTAAGAAAATCAGGACCCCAAAGGATCGAACTGTCTCCAATTCTTTTGGTTGTCTCCTGAGACAAAGCTCAAGGCCTTCAGAAGTATGACAATACCCAGCACCCAGTAAGGCACCATGTCAGAATCTAATCAAAATTCACCAGGCATGCAAAGAGGCAGGACAATTTGACACATGACAAGGAAAAAAAAAAATCAATCAAGCAGAACACACCCAGAACTGACACAGATATTAGAATTAGCAAATAGGAATTTAAAAGTTATTATAACTGCATTCTGTATGTTCAGATACTTACACAGACATTACAAGGATATTAGAAAGACACAGCCAAACTTCTAGACATGAAAACCACAATGTCTTAAATGAAAGAGACACTAAACTGAACAATAAATTAGATACTGCAGAAAAAAGATCAGTGGACTTAAAAATATAGCAACAGAAACCATCCAAAATGAAGTAGAGAAAAAAGAACTTTAAAAAAAGAATAGCATATCAGTGAACTGAACTATGGATATAAATATCTTAAACCTAAAAACAGAACTTCAAAATACATGAAGCAAAAGCTAATGGAAATGTAAGAGAAATAAACAAATGCACAGTTATCGGCAGAAATTTCAGTATCCCTGTCTCCATAATCAATAAAATAAGAAAAAATGGTAAGGAGACAGGACATTTGATCATGACTATTGAGTAATGTGACCTTTTTGACATTTATAGAACATATCACCCCAAAGTGGCAAGATATACATATAAAATACATAGGTATAAGGAATATGTACCCAGGCAGAACTTATTTGCGGCTATAAAGTTAAGTCTCAGTAAGATGAAAAGGCTTTCTAATCTAAATTATATTTTCTAGCCAGGCATGGTGGTGCATACCTGTAATCCTAGCACTTGGGAGGCTGAGGCAGGAGGATCAATACGAGTTTGAGGCCTACCTGGACTACATAGTGAGTTCAAGGTCAGCCTGAGCTACATAGTAAGACCTTGTCTCAAAAAATAAAAATAAAAAATATGTATGTTTTCTGACAACAATTGGAATCAAATCAGAAAGCAGTATTAAAAAGCTCTCTGGAAAACCCCCAAATATCTGGAAACTAAACAACAAATTTCTAAATAACCCAGTCATCAAGGAAGCCATCAAAAAAGAAATAGAAAGCATTTCAAACTGAATAAAAATGAAAACAATGAGTCGGGTGCGGTGGCCCAGGCCTGTAATCCCAGCACTAAGGAGGCTGAGGCAGGAGAATCACTGCGAGTTCGAGACCAGCCTGGGCTACAAAGTGAGCTCAAGGCCAGCCTCAACTGCATAGCAAGACCCTGGACCCTGTCTTAAAAAAAAAAAAGAACAATGAAATTTGTGGGCTGTCTCTACAACAGTGCTTAGTAAAACTTCTAGCACTAAACATCATCTACATTTAGAAAAAGGAAAAGTTAAACTGATGACCTAAACTTTAAAACGCTACAGAAGGAGTCAGGTGTGGGGGTGCATACCTGTAATGCCAGCAGTCTGAGGGGTTGAGGGAGGAAGATTTCAAGTTAAGAGCTCATCCTGGGCAACTTAGTGGGACCCTACCTCAAAAACAAGTTAAATTTTAAAAATTTAAAAATTTTAAAAATAAAAAGGCTATAGAAAGGGGCTGGCAATGTGGCTTAGGGATAGAGAAAGTGCTCTGTGTATATAGCTCTGGGTTTGATCCCCATCACTGCAAGAGTAACACTAAGCCAGAAGTAAAAGAAAAGAAATAATGAAGATCAAAGTAAAATCAATGAAATCAAAAGCTAGTTCTTTGAGAAGATCAATAAAATTGATTTGTCTTTAGCCAAACTGATCAGAAAGAAAAGAAAGCAGATACAAATTACCAATATGAAGAATGAATGTCAAAGCAGAGCTACAGATTCCACAGACGTTAAGGACAATGCAGAGATGTTACGAACGCTGTCAATAAATTATACAAGTTAGTGAAATGAACAAAAGCCTTTAAGACACAAACTACCAAAGCTCACCCAAAAAAAAACAAATGGAAAAGCCCTTATCTACTAAATAAATTGAACCTGTAGTTAAAAATTTGCTCACAAAGAAAACTCCAGGCCCAAACAGCTTCACTTTATGGTTTCTATAAAACTGCAGGAAAACATAGGCGACCTTTGTGACAGATTAGGCAAAGCGACAGGATTACTCCTTGCCTCAGGAAGTGGGGGAAAAGGATTAAGGAACATGAGAAAACCTGGGTATTAAGGAACTTGCACACCTGTTTACATCAGAAATGCTGTTGTGAGCCCCATTATTGGACATTGTGGTGTCTGACTAGAAACACAGATGTGATACAATCTGTGGGCTGGACATCTTTACATTTAAGCCTATCTCCTTTTTCCTTAAGCAAGCTTTTAAGCTGTTAAATTAGTAGGCAGACCAAAGAGTACAAAAGTACACTTCTGGGGTGTTAAACAAGTGAATCTCTAGGAAGCCTGTAAGAGGCTGCCTCCTCCCAGCTACCTCTGTAGTCTGCTTTTTACCAACACACTTCCTTCCCAGGAAGGGACAAGTAGATCCCCTTCTGTCCCTCATTTCTGCCCATGGTTTCCCTGACTCCTGCAGAACTGAAAGGATCCTCCTGAGAGCTCAGTTTGCCCGTCTGTGGGATGGGGCTGGTCTCACTCCTGTCTTGTGAGGCTTGGGAGCACAGCACTGGTGGGCAGAGCCTTTCCTGATGACCATGGGCCATAGTTCTTGTCCACTCTGGGGTGTCCTTGGCTAACATCATCTCCCTACAGGCCCCCACACCAGGCACAGTGCTCCAACCCTCTCAGGGCCAGGAACTGGGGCGCTCTCACCTGCTTCTTCGTGTCCACCTCCAGGATGTCCATCAGGTTGATCATGATGTTTTTATGTGTCTTCTTGTATTTCCCAACCCGCAGCGAGACAGTGAGCCAGCCAGGGCGCCCCGTGCACATGAAAGTCTTGCTGCCCTGCTCCTTCCATTCTCGTACCTGCAACCAGGGACAGAGGCTGAGCTGGCTCCAACAGACACCCTCAGCAGCTCATAACCTTGCTTTCAGGGAGAAGGAACTTGGAAGGGTGCCTCCACCTAGACACTGGGAGGAACACGATGATGAAATGGACTTGAACTCTTGGCCCCAGCCTCTGGCAGCTCCCTAACTGGGAGGCCAAAAGCAAAGCCTTGTTACTATACTACCAGGTAGGAGGGAGAAAGAAATAGTACACAGGATCAGAGTGTTTCAAAAACATCAACTGGGAAGTTCAGGGAAGGTTTTGCAATGGTAACAAGAGTGATTATATAAATGACTGCCATTTATTGGGTGCCCCCACCATGCCAGGCAACTACTGTACAATGTCTTGTTTTTATTTTTAATTTTTTGGTCTTTTTGAGACAGGGTCTAGCTATGCAGTTCAGGCTGGCCTTGAGCTCACTTTATAGCCCAGGCTGGCCTTGAACTCGCAATGGTCCTCTGTCTCAGCCTCCTGAGTGCTGGGATTACAGGCGTGCACCACCACACCCAGCCAGTACAATGTCTTGTTCACCTGTATAACAACCCCAGGAGGTAGGGATGACCTCTTTGCAGCTGAGGAAACTCAGAGGTAATGTAACTTGCCCAAGACCACACCAGTGATTAGCAGAGCCTGATGCACAGCCAGGAGTAACTGCAAGCCCAGCACAGCTCAGCTGGGCTGTAGTAACAGTCTACAATACACCTAACACTTACTGATGCGTATTCTGTGATGAACCCTGTCCTAAGCAGTAGCACGCATACACTCACAGACTCCTACTAGGGACAGAGGGGAAGGACCAGGAAGCCAACGGAAAGAAAGGCTCTGGCAAACTTTTAATGTAAGCAAGCAGAGCACAAAATGGAGAAGTGTCCCAGGGGATGACAAGCCATCAGGAACACGGATGTTCCATTCCTAATGAGATGGACACCTTTCAGGGACAAAGGTGTTTGTCGTCTTAACCTGCAATCATCTGTTTCTTTTTCACCCACTTCTAATAACCCCATCTTCCTTGATCCAGGTGTGATTTATTCTACTCCAGGAGGGAGGCATATGACAGAGGTCTGGTTCTATCTTCCTGGTCAAATACAGGGTCAGACTGTTTCTAGAGAAGGTCCTGTCTCTTTATTGGATGGATCTAAACCAGACATTGTTGAGGCCTCCACAGGGCCAGCCTACCTGAGAATAAAGTCAGTCAGGGGTAAGGGAGCCAGTGAAGCTCCTTGCCCAAGTCACTTTAAACTGAGTTTCTATCACATGCAACCAGGAGCCTGTCAAATCTTGGTTACATTTTCTGGTGGAGGCAGCAGTAGAGCTTGTTCAGCAAAGAGCTCAACAATGGGAAGGGCTTTCTTGCATTCAGAGACTGGGGTCACCACATGAAGTGGAGGTGTTCAAGCTCGGGGATGGGGGCACTACTGAGGGATTCCCATGAGTTGGGGGTGAAATGATAAGAGATGGGAATTCCACAACCAATCAGGCCTGGCCTTGCCCAACTTTGCAGTCCAAAACTGAACCCAAGACCACGAGTGAGTGGGAGTGGATTACAGGTGCTGCACTGAGCCTGGAGGTGGAGGCTAAAACTCTGAAAATACTGGCTGGATTGGATTCTGACGGGAGTTGACCAAGATTCTGGGCGAGGAGGCAGTGCCTAGAAAAACGACTTTTTGCTCTAGGCACATACCTAAGAGAAGTGAGGAGCACAAAAAAGTACTACTGGTCAGGCAGCTGGCAAAACAAGGCAGGTGCTGGGCAGCAGAACCAGACTTACAGATTGCAAAGGATGGGAACAAAAAAACGTCAAGTGCTCAGGCTGCGGCCTCAAGCTAACCAGGGTCGCAGCCCCATTTACTAGTTCCATCGTCCTGCAACATGACTCAGAGTTTTAACTTCAATTTTTTTCCCCACTAGTAAAACAGGTGCAACACCCATCAGCACTGTTGCGACGATTATAAATAATGGACGGCAATGGCTGGGTTGTGGCACATGGCAGGGCAAGGGCAGGTGCTGGTCCTCTGGGTCTTCTGTGTTCTGTCTACAGAGAGCCTTCTGTTTATTGTGGGTTAATGAGTACTCACTAAGCTGCTTCCAGCCAGGCCCCACGGGCCAGGGGGTCAGATAACAGTCCTGCTTTCTAGGAGCTCACAGTTTGACCAAGGAGTCCAGCAGGTAAATCGAGAATCTGAGCTCCAGGAAGAACTGGGAGAAAGGTGCAGCTGGGGAGAGGGCAGGCAGAGCTCCGGGGCTGGACGTGCGCAGCAGTGAAGAGCACTTCCAGACGCTCCCCTCTGCCCCAGGCCCACGGTCTCGTCCCTCACGGGGAGCCCCCGAGCATCATCTTCAGCCTTGGCCAGCGGGAAGCCACCGCAACAGGGGCAGCAGGAAACAGAAGCTCTCGGCAACCTGATGCCAGAGGAACATACGCAGGCGCCGAAGGAGCCAAGACACTGCCCGGGCCGGAACCCCACGCCAGCCCGGCCCGGGAGCCGCAGCAGGGTCCCGGCAGCTCCGCGGAGGGCGGCACACGGCACGATGTCCAGTTCCGGAGCCTTTCTCGGAGCCGGCCCTCCCCCGCAAGGCCCGCCCGGGCTGGGACTGACTGGGTTCTTTCTCTACTCGCTTTACTTCTTTATTCTAAAAAGCGCCCAAAGCACCTTGCGGCCACAAAATAAACCTCTAACCCGGCCTCGCAGGCCGTAAGCTCCCTCCCTCCGGGCGGCGCCTGCACTTTCCTCCCTCCCGGCCTGGCTCGCGCGAGTTCCCCACCCGCCTCGCGTCCCCGACCGCTCCCGCGCCCCTTTCCACCTCCCGGGAGGGAGCCGTTCCCGCCGCGCGCCCCGGTCCGGCCCAGCCCGCCCACCTGCTTCTGGATGTCCCGCACGCGCTGCTCGTGCAGGCGCGGCGCGCTGCTGAGCCGGAACACCACCCAGGCGCGCAGGTAGTAGTAGATGTCGAAGATGAGCGACAGCGGCAGCAGGAAGAGGCACACGAACACCCAGCGCTGGTGGATGAGCACGAACTCCAGCCCCTTCACGCGCACCCACAGCAGGAAGAGCAGGGCGCACACCGCCAGAGACACGGCGGGCTCCATTGTACCTGGCGCCGCGCGGGGTCCGCCCGGGCTTGCGTCCCCTGCCGCCGAGGTTGTCCGACCCCGCTCTGCTCCGAGCCCGCCGCCTGGGGAGCCGCGGGGTCGCCCGCTGCCTCGCGATTGGCTTGGGTCGCCGAGGTTCGGTGGGCCGAGACCCGGGCGGCGACCAATGGCGAGGCGCGCCAGGGATCGGACCAGGAACCTTCCACTCTCATTGGCTACGGGGGCCAGGCCGCTCCACCCTCTTCTCGCAGACACGCGAGGAGGGGGCCGAGCCCGCCGGCCGGGGGCGCAGTGGGCTCGGGGGCGCAGGTGGGGTTGAGGGCGCCGGGTCCGGTTTTCAGCGCTGAGGCTGCGCGGCGTCCCCTTCTCCTTGGTGGCTCCTGTTGGAGCCGTGCGCCTAGCGGTCACTGGCCGGCTCACCCGGCGAGGGTGGGAGGCACCCCGAGGCCCAGAGTGACCCCGCGCCGCTGCAGTCTCTAGGCCGGGCCGCCGCGGGCCGCGTCGCTCGGTGCGCGCAGGGCCGAGAGGGGCACCCTTCCCTTTCCCCAGGCTTTCCCGTAATTCCTTTGCGCCGCGCAGCCGTGCTGGACGGTGGGGAGCAGGAAGCCCCCTTTTCTCCCGGAAGAAGCACCCAGAATGATGGGGACCCTCCTGGAGCCGCGAAGCGCTTGCAAGGCGTGAGGTTGCGGCCCGCACCTTCCCGCTCCTCCCAGGCTAGGCTGCCGCGGAGGCTGGATGTGGAGGAATCTGGCGTCCAAACTCGCGGCCGGCCCCGGGCTAGGGTAGTGAACAGCAGATGGCCCTGCCGGGTTCGCTCCTCCCGCCGGTCTCCGCCACCCTATCATAGCTGGAGCTTAAGTCCAGGGCTGTTTGCTTTTCATTTGAAATCGAAGCCAGTTTTCCGGATGTTTTGTCTTGGAAGCCAAACTCTTGTCTGTGTGGCGGAGCCTGCGTCCACTCCCTCTCTTCTGCGCCGACGCGCACTCTTGGGAGACCCCTAGGCCTAAACCCCACCATCCCTCATTTCAGCCTTTTGGTCAAGCTGAACTCGGAAAACCCTTTCCCGAGCCGTCACCGCGCTTACGTTACGCCCTGGACCCGCAGTTGGAGCCCTCTGTAAAACTCCGTTGATGGTGCCTGCCTCCTCTTCCAGGTGCTCATGCCTTAGTGTGCGTGGAGGCTGTGGTTCTTTCACGGTTCTTTATGACTGTCTCAGTGTCTCTCACCTCGGCAGACCGAGCTTCAGGACAAACAGGTCTTGTTCACGCTTCTCTTTCCAGCTTGTAGCACAGCGCAGGATGCTGAATGAGGAGCCTGGGCAGAGGCTCGCATACTCAGCAGTGATCAGAGTGAGAGGCTACTTACACTGGGTTCCAAAAGGGACTCAAGTTGCCGCCGTGTGCTGTCTTCACCCCAGCTGTTACTGCAGGTACATGCAGCCCAAAGTGAGGTGTCCTTTAAGTATAAAATATGCCGGATTTCAAAGACTTAGCGCAAAAAAGAGAGTGCAAAATAGCATTAATAGCACTCATATTAACTGCACATTGAGAAGGTAATATTTTGATATATTGGGTTAAGTGAAATATGATATTAAAATTATTTTCACCAGGGCTGGTGATGAGGTCCAGTGGTAGAGTGTCTAGCATGTGGGGAAGTCCTGGGTTCAATCCCAGTACCATACACAAAAAAGCACAAACAAAACATATATTTGCTTTTTAAGGCAGCTCCTAGAAAATCACAAATCACAGATTTGTCTTCAATTATGCCTCTGAAGCTGCAAGAAAGAAGGGCCTGAGCTAATGTGGAGAATCTTTTTCCCTGGGGCATGTCTGAGGTCAGTTCTGAAACCAGTGTTTTACTCTGGCAGTTAAGTGTTCTGAGTAAAACTAGTTGAGGCAATCTGGAAATTAAAGGTCAGGTGAACTGATAGTGAAGGTTTTGTAGCAATTACTGGCTGACTGGGATAGTTTTGAGAGAATTAGAAACCACCAAGGGGCCAAAGGGCAGGTGTACTCCTGGGCCTTCCCTGAGGATCTCTTTCCTATTGCAAGTGTGGTGTGTGTCCTTCCTCCCATCATCCTGACAGGCAGTCTTAGGGACTTCAGTAACCAGGTGTGTCCTTGAAACCAGTGTCTCCCAGAATAAACTAGATGGGAAAATACACTGTTGGGGATGAACACAGAGGGCAGAGGAAAACTTCTGGGCCTGTACCTGTGTAAAACAATTTGTAGTCCCTTTTAAGGCAGACAGAGACTTAGAAACTGCTTTGGGCCTCTTCACTTGGGCCTGTAAATGCCCAAGGGGTAACAAAAAACAGGACAAAGTGTGGCATCTCTGCTTTCTTTTTTTTAATCTTTTTTTTTTTTTGTAACGTTAAAACTGTAAGTGGTGCTCCTGCTCAGCCCTGCGTATAGGCATGGTAATCATTTAAGGAGCGGCTGTTTAAAAACTGGTAACACAGTTTATCAGCCTTAAGTTGACGTACCTGTCACATCCCCATTTAAGACTGAGCACTCTGTGTCCTAAGAGGTTTACAGGGACATTCAGCTGCCAGTGTTCACAGTGTTCCACTTGGAAACGAGTACCTAAATTTCTCATCCTTGCCCTAACTTGTAGTCACCTTGGGTTCCAGCAGAACCTCTGCAAAATTGAGACTGCCCGAACAAAAACTATATTTCTGCCAGGAAAGGCAGAAACCAAAACTGAGATCATGACCAGCCTAATCCTAGCCACGCTGCAGCCCTATAAAAGCTGGCCTTTGCCCTTTTTTTTTTGTTCTTTTGTTTTTTTGAGACAGGGTCTCCCTATGCAGTTCAAGCTGGTTTTGGGCTCACTTTGTAGCCCAGGCTGGTCTCAAACTTGCAATGATCCTCCTGCCTCAGCCTCCTGAATGCTGGGATTACAAGCGTGCGCCACCACGCTTGGCTTCCCTTTTTTTTTTAACAGATCAGTCTGATCTCCTTTGTCTGAGTTATGCCCCCTTTGGCTCTTCTTCTCAAGCTGAAGCCCCTTCCCATTTTCTCCTCCTTCTCAGTTAAAGCTTTTGTCTATGAATTCGTGCAGTAGCCTCGATTTTAATTCCCTTTATTGCTGAAAGAAGGACCTGCCAGCATGTGTTATTGTTTGATTTCTAGATGATAGTCTTTCTTTGTGGAGTGAGATGGGATCTCAATGTTGTTTTAATTTGATTGGGTCCTTAAATTTAGGGAGTATAATTTTTTTGAGTTCTTTATATATTCTAGATACTAGTCCTTTTTCTGAGGAATAGCTGGCAAAAATCCTCCCCCCACCCCATTCTATAGGTTGCCTCTTCACTCTGTTGGTGGTTTCCTTTCCTGTGCAGATGCTTTTTAATTTGATGTGATCCCAGTTTTTGATTATTGGTGGTGTTTCTTGTGCAACTGTGATTCTGCTCAGAAAGTCTTTGATTACATTTATGTCTTCAAGAGTTTTACCTACTTTTGTCTTCCAACAGATTGTGTTTCTGTTTTAATATTTAAACCTTTGATCCATTTTAATTTGTCTCTGGCATCGTGAGAGATAGGGGTCTAGGTCACTTGTGGCGAACCTCTGGCATGTGTGTTATTTGATTTTCTTTTAAGACAAAAAAATGTATGAGTTATTTTTTCTAAACTAAAACCTCAGTGTTCAAGCATAATGGCAGTGTTGGCACTTTGCAATAAATTTTCGGATTACTCATCCATCCCTGTCCAGGGTGAACAGGTCCCCAGAATGAGCTGCCCGTGGATGTATTAATCCCCTCATCAAATGAACAACTCCAGAGCCGAATATCTGGACTCAGGGGGCTAGCCGCCTTCTAAATTTAAGCCCTGACCGCCATCCCCCATAACCTTTTATTCAGCGAGAACAAAAGAGGCAGCCCCGGAGTTCGGGCATCTCAACCGTTTTTTTGGAAGGCCAATACAACTCCATTATCATAGCAATGAGACTTGACCAGTAAACAATCATGTTATCTTCTTTAGAGCATATCTCAGAAAAGCATCTAGTGTTGTCCCCAGGGCCAACAATGCTTTTGCTAGACTTCCTCCAGAACCCAACAACCGGGGCTGGATTTAGCTCAGCAGCACAGCACCTGTCTGGCAAGTGCGAGGTCCTGAGTTAGTTTGCTGGTACCAGAAAAAAAAAAAAAAATTAAAAAAACAAACAGAACCCAACAACCATGGCTCGATCAGGCCTGAGGCAATACATCTAGAGGATGTCCTTCTCCACAATAAATAAGTGGGTTTCAGGGTGCAGTTTGGGCACTAATCTCTGAAAGGTTCCTCGCCAATGCTCTAGGTCCAACCTTCAGCATATGGATAGCCAGTTTTCCCAGCACCATTTGTTAAAGAGGCTATCTTTCCTCCAGTAAAAATATTTGGCCACTTTGTCAAAAACAAGATAGCTGAGTGTGCCTGGAGTTGTTTTTACAGCCTCTATTCTGTTCCATTGATCTACAAGTCTGGGTTTGTTTGTTTTTTGTTTTGGCAATACCATGCTGTTTTTATCAGTGTAGCTTTGTAATGTAATTTAAGTACAGATTGTGGTGCCCCCTGCTGTGCTTTTGTTGTGCAGAATTGCTTCTGCTATTGTAGGTTTCTGTGGTTCCATATGAAGTTTAGGATTGCTTTCTCTACTTCTGTATGGAATGCTATTGCTATTTTTGTTGGAATTGTATTAAATCTGTATAACAGTTTTGGAAATACAGTGATCCCACACCTGTCTCAGGAGTTACATTCCAGAGACACCCCCCCATGATAGGTAAAAATCTGCAAAGTAGTGGCATTATATTTATTTTATTATTTATATATATTTTAAGGTTTTATAAATCCTTCCCACGCTCCTATAAACCTTTCCCACACGCTTATAAACATATCATGTGCTCTTAAACACTTTCTACACTCTTAAACCTACGTAATTTTAACAACATGTAAAATTCTATATGGGTACTCACTAGTGAAGCATACTACAACTTGAATGGTGAAGATCACGAATTA